TAACAGGCCATTAACACACTCGTAGTTGGTTAGGCTTAGAGCCCTATAAATCGTTGCCGTCATTATGAACTAACTTGATCTCATCGCGTGTTTTATTCTGATAGTCATGACTCGGCCCTGCCCAATTAATTAGGTCTTGCACCGGACACCTAATCAATGAGTTTCTCTTAGCTCGAATGTACTCGTGTTAATGAAGAGTGGGGACGGCTAGCACACAATCAACTACACTAGTAATTGTTTTATGTTGTGAATTATTTTTCCCCTCATCATTTAACCTTAGTTCTTAATGTCCATATCTACGTCCTCTCTCGCCATAATAACTGTACAATTCTGATGTATATTTCTAATAATGAAGCTACAATTCACGTATTTTATTTCTGCTCCTTCACTTCCTACGTAGTTCATTTCGCTTGTAGCTAAATATGTTTATTTATATCGTATGTATACTTTACTGTTCCCTCACTTCGTATGCAGTTTTCAGCTACTTCACTTCGTAGCTAGTAATTTCTGCTCCAAAATTTCGTGTAATTTATATCCCCCCCCCCCCCCCCCTCGCGGGGTAGAGAATTATGAGAACGACCCCCCCCCCCCCTGCTCCTCCACAAACATGGCACACAGACGAACGTTCCATCGTCCCCATACCAACAGTCCCAGGCCGCCGTGTACAAAGGCCGTCTTCAAACACCCAAAAGCTGCTTTTTAGATCTTTGGAAATCTCAGTTTTCATGCACTGTATGCGGCCTTCTCTCTCTCTCCTCTATTTTGGGTCCTGCTCAACCTTTGAAGGGACTATGTGGGTGTGTGCTTGATTTGTAGGACTGTGTGTGTGTGGCTTTGGGGACTTTGTGGGTGTGTAGCTTGAAGATGGCGTGTGTGTGTGTGTGGTATAGTGTGTGTGCGACTGAGAGACTGTGCGAGTGTGTCGATTTGAAGGACTGTGTGAGTGTAACTTCCATGGTTTGTGTGGTTGGCCTCAGGAGTCAACGTGGAGAATATAGTCATAGAAAGCCAACGAGTAGAGGTGACATTACATTTACATTATCTTTCTCTCTCTCCCCCCCCCCCCCCCCCCCACACAATATTTCTCTCACACACGCATGAGGAATCCAAAAATAAATGTTGAGATAAAATTCTACCATATCTAGGCGCTAGCTACTCCCCTTCTACATTTCTAGTTGAACCTATTTCCCTAGCGCCTAAAAATCTATACACTCTAAGAGTTAAAACCAACCCGGCCTGTCCCCATCTATTTTGGTGTGTTAAATCATCGAACAGGACCACGCGCAGTCGGCCTGACTGTGTCAGGAAAACTTAAGGTCACCACAGCCCGACACGCCCCTGGATAACCTTTAGTGATGACGGCAGGCCAAGTGTAATCTAGGTCGACGTCATTTCTTTACGTAACGTTGCCGCTTGTCCTGAGTGAGGTCACCGTAGAGTGAGGTCATCCATTGTCCACTACCAGCGTACAACCTGTACTGTTTGTTACCCCCCTTTCCTTCTCTCTCCCCCCCCCCCCGTGCACATACACACCGTGTCCCTCCCTCCCCCAACGCCTCTGGTTGTGACGAATTCCCCAAGCGGATTGTTCAAGTAAATGGGAAGGGCCGTGTGTTGCAAGTGAAGGGCCCATTGATCGTCTGTCGTTTTTCTCTTCGTCCAGGGATGGAGAGAAGGAATTTAAAAGGACCAATAATACCCACAAAGAAGTGGGGGGGGGGGGGGGGAGGTTGGGCTTCGACTACTGCCTGTGTTTTAAAAGGAATAAAATTAAGGGAAGGGTTTTTTTTTTGTCAGAAGGTAAAGTTTAGAAATGTTGCGAGCCCCAGGCTAGTTTTTTGATTAATGGATGAAGAGGGGGGGGGGGTGTAGCGGTGTGGAGGAAATGAAAGGGATTGGTTGCTAGTTGAAGTAGTGTGTACAGCCGTGGCTGGTGTACATACCAGCCGACAGTAACAGGTGTTCTGTTTCTTAACATTCACTGTATTACCTACTCGATGCTACACATCTATCGGTTGGTCAGTTCAAATTTGTCTTGGTCAAACCAAATTTTCGTTCTCGACCAATGCGAATTTTCGTTCTCGACCAATGCGAGTTTTCGTTCTCGACCAATGCGAGTTTTCGTTCTTGGCCAGTACGAGTTTTCGTTCTTGGCCAATGCGACATTTTCGTTCTTGGTCAATCCAAAATTTCGTTGGTCATTCCAATTTTTAAAAAAAATTCTTCTGAGGGCTTTACGCGGCCTTGTTCAGAGGTGGGGAGGGATGGGTTGGGAGCTGCAGAACCGAGTGGGGAGGGGTGCGACAGGGCGTAACTAACTGGCATGAGTGGGAGATTGGCTGTGGTGGAGCCTTGAGCGCGTACCCCAGTGCAATATCTCCCCCACTCGACAAGGGAGGGAAACGGAGTGTGTAATTTGGAAAGGGGAGAGGCGTAACTCGTGTGCACATGTTATTAAAATGAGCCAGTATTGAACTGGGTGTTTTCTGCGTGTTTCGTATTTACATGGCTGATTTTTTTTTTAAAATCTTGCAACCAAACCAAACCCCAGCAGTGAGCTAGGCCTACAGATGGAAACGGTTGGTGTGTCCACAACCTGAGCTAGACTAGCTCAACTATAGCGGGGGTACCCTTGAGAGTTAATTTTAGCTCAAGCCAGTCGATAGATCCCTAGGCGATCCTGTCACTCAAACTTTAAGAGGAAAAAAAAAAGTCTAGAGGACGGTAACGAAAGAGCGAAGGAGACGTTGGACTGACTACACGCCGTGTGCTGGCCGCGGCAGTCAGTCGGTGTGTTGTGTTCAGTGGCTCGAGGCTTGTACACAGTCTGGGCTGGAGCCGTGGATATCGCCATGTTTCTGCTTGTGTCAGCCTATCGATCCTATTGATCACTGGAACATGTAAACGTGTATGGCGCGTTGTGAACAGTTGTGTCCGACCCCGCTACACACGGACAACGGTGTGTTCTGTGTTACTGGATTGATGCGGTAAGAAAGACGAGATGATGTGTTGTTTTTTTCGGGAAAGTATTTGGGTTTTGTAGCTGCTTGAGGATAAAATCGGCTAAATAATTGGAGCAAATGCGTGTTGTCGTCGCATTTGTTTTATGAATATGGTAAACGGAGTTAATTGGTGACTTATTTGAGGGGAGGGGCTTGCTAAGGATAGAGAGGCTTAGTCATTGGTGTTTATTGTTGAGTGTGTAGTGTGTAAATGGTTCGGTTAACTCATGTCAAGTTGCCTATCAACAATCCGGGTAGCACATTGTAGGCTTATCTCATATTTTATAGGTTTGTGTACAATTCGTTTTATTTAGGAGGAAATAATCGACATATTGGGACTAATTAATTACAGACATTTAAAGTGAGGTAGTAATATAGCCTACTAATTTATAAATTTTAATCAACTTTTATAATTGTAACTATTGTGACGGTTTTTTTTTTATTTACTAGTATTAGGGCCTTGGATATTATTTTTTACAGAGTTTCTTCATAGTCATAGAATCTACATAACTAGGCTATATTCAATATTGAGTTGAGTTAGTTTGCCTATAGATTTAGTTACAGTAAGTCTTACTGAGGATTTGTTAAGTATAGTCTTAAAGTTAAATCATGTTGTCATCAACATTGAGCCATCAATTAGAGCATTATTATTGACTTAATGATGTAATTCTATGAATGTCTTAGATACAGAAATGGCCAACAATCAGATCATTACTATTGAATTATATGTAATATGTAAGCCTACCATAACTGAACAATGTCCTAATAAAAATATCCACAATGTGTAGGTTCTGACTCATGAAATGTAATTTATCATGCTGTTCTTAGACTATCTTAGACTTATAGCCCAACCTAGATCTGAATCAGATCACAAAAAAAGTTAACTTTAAAATTTTATTCATCCCAAGCTCAATCCCTCTAGATTTTATACTATTTGAATCCTATTCAACAACTTAAAAATCAAATTTCTGTTTTAAATAATACTTTAACATTTTTTCTAGGAATTCTGTAAAATATTTAGCATTCATATTGTTTTTTCCAACCAAGATATCTGTGTACATTTCCTATACTGTACTGTAACCCCTAGTGAGCAACAACCTGTTTTGAAAAGCCTGTACTGTACTACCTGTGTAGTGTCCTGTGCTGTTTTCACCTTCATTCACTGACAGGTGGGGTGACTCATTTACCCCTCCCCATTTCTAGTTTTCTTACAGACTTATCAGGTGTGCTTGTATACTTATCTACTTTTTAAATATGGCTTTAGGTCTGGCTTATTTCATTTTTTTTAAATGCAGTTTTCACACACACACACATACACACACACACACACACACATTTTTTGTATAGATAGAATTCACTGCTCATGTGTAGTTGACTAAGCACCTGTTTATTTTCTGTACATTTTCTGAATAAATTGATTGATATGAGGAAATTATGCTAAAACTTGTTCATTATGAAAGATATTTGTAGATGTAATAATTAACCAGTGTTTTAGTTAGTAACTATTACATGCTCAGTGTATGAGAGATTCTTGCTTTAAACATGTATGTTTATTGCTAGAGCTACCTGTAGGTCCCTCTACCTGGCAGACTTGGTGGATTTTCCCACATCATGTGAGGGTATCCTGTGATACCAGCAACCCTTACTTACCCCCTTCCCAAAAAAGTCAGGTATCCATTGGAGCTGGGTTGGCTCAAGGATGTCAAATTGTTGGCATGACCTGGGAACTTTGTGCTAGTGAACACAAACTCTACTGGACTAGCCCATCCCTCTTGAACATTACTAAATCTTGAGCGTAAATATTACTGTCATGTTGCTAGTTATGGTATAAAAAAAAATAATCTTATGAATCTTTTTCAGCTTTAAATTATACTATACTGACTTAAAAGTTTTTAATTTGTCTGTCAAATTTAAGAATTGTAATACTTCTATTAATAATATGCTTATATTAAAATAATTAAGGTTAAATTAATGTGAATATTTAAATTTGTGTTCCAGCAATAGCACACGCCGCCGCACTCGCGACAGGGTCCCCACATCTTCCACCACGGCCACACCTGATGAGCGCCGAGCCTTCCAGCCCCCCAACCCACCACACCTCCATGTGGCCACCAACCCTGCATTCCTGGCCAGACAGATCCACCCAGCCATGTTGTCAGCACAACATCCACCCTCTGTCTTAGAACACCTTGAGCAGGTATTTACACTGGCCAAGCCATTTCTTTTAGTTAAGGATCAACTAGATAGACATTTTCTCTGGTACTTTAGGATCTACCAGACAGACATTGCCATTTTCTCTGGTACTTTAGGATCAACCAGACAGACATTGCCATTTTCTCTGGTACTTTAGGATCAACCAGACAGACATTGCCATTTTCTCTTGTACTTTAGGATGAACCAGACAGACATTGCCATTTTCTCTTGCACTTAAGGATCAACTAGACAGACATTGCCATTTTCTCTTGTACTTTAGGATCAACTAGACAGACATTGCCATTTTCTCTTGTACTTTAGGATGAACCAGACAGACATTGCCATTTTCTCTTGCACTTAAGGATCAACTAGACAGACATTGCCATTTTCTCTTGTACTTTAGGATCAACCAGACAGACATTGCCATTTTCTCTTGTACTTGATCAACCAAACATATATTACCATTTTCTGTAGTACACTAAGATCAGCCAAACATCATTTTTTGTTGTAGTTAAGGATCAACCAGATCACAATGATCAACTAGATCGTATAATAACATAAAGATCAACCAGAAAGTCATATTGATCTGAAAGATCTTCAGGAACTCAGTATGATGAGAAACTCGCAACAGTTATTATGTTTTCGACCTAAGGATAAATTGTTTGTCTGCAGGTGTCAATGTCTGGTCCAATGCAAATGGGTCCCTATGTACCCCTGTGTGCTACAGCCACACCCCACCCGCTGAGTATGTGTGCACCCATGCCCCAGATGCACATGGGCAGCTCAGCTGCGATGCCTTCTTGGTCTCTGGCCAGCCTCCCAGTGAGGCTTCAGTCCTGCACCCTCCCCCACTGCACCCTCCCTCACCCCATCCCCCAATATCTACCGTCCAGTCACCACCCCCAGCATCAACCACCGCCTCCCCCCCAGGCTCACATACCAATGCCCCCTCACATCCCAGGACTGCATCACCAGCATCAGCACAGACCATACCACCACCCTCACCAACAACCCCAGCAACAACAACGTCATGGACAAAGTACACAGGTAATACTAGATTTGTTTTTTCTCATATTGATCAAATCTCCATTGAAATAAGAGAAGTTAAATTATTCATTAGCATTTTTATGTATTTTTTTATGATTTAGCTGAAGTCCTATTTTTAAGTACCCAATTTAATACATTTTAAATATCTATTCATATGTAATATTATAAATATATATATTATAAACTCATTTCTAAAACATTTTATATTCTTATTTAAAATGATGAACCTCCTTTTAAATATATTTTATATTTCCATTCTTATGTAAAATGATGAACCCCTTTTTATGTATTTTATATTTCTATTCGTGTTATGTAATATGATGAACCCCCTTCTAATTCACTTTGTATTTCATTTCATGCCATGTAATATGAAAACGCCCTTCTTTTATTCCTAGTTCTTCATTGATGCTTTACTTTGTACACAGGAAGAAGATGTCCACTCAGTGCTGTCTGACCAGAGGAGTGCCAGTGTGTACCCCCTCCACCCCAGCTTTCACCATCATCACCACCACCATCACCACCACCCGGCCGCGGCTGCTGCCCTGGCCTCCTCCCACCCGTCACACACTGGTCACCCCCACAGCCTTCCCCACCCCATCACCTCATCACAGTCTGTCATCCTGCAAGAGCCAACAGTTCATCCTACGCCAGACATTTATGTAAGTCAACAAACTTGAACATCTTTCATTCATTCATTCATCATACACTAAAATCCACTATTTTAACATGTTTTGTTCAATCGTTTAAATTTTTTTTAAAACTTATCTTGAGCAAACTTTTTTTTTCCTTCTGCTGCCACAGGGAACCTTATCGCGCTACTATTCACGGCGATCTAGCACCAGAAGCCGTGTCCGCATGCAACAGCAGTACAGCTCTGGATTTTTGCTGCAGTTCCTGTAAGATTTTTTCTTTGGCTTAAGTGTGTAGTATGTAAAACATTGTTGTAAATATAAACAATCACAAGTATTTTTTTAAAAACACATTTCTAATCTGTTTTCCTGTCTCCACAGTGCCATGCTGGGTAGTCCTCCTATGCCACAATATGGGCGGGATATGGACAACCCAGAGGAAGTAGAGAACTATGAGGTAAAACCATCAACTCATTTGTCATTGATACACTGTACTCAATAACCCCAACCATAGAGCATTAAACTGTGACGTTATACCTGACTCTATACTAACTTTGCTTGACTTCCCCAGGCGCTGCTGTCTTTGGCTGAACGACTTGGCGAGGCCAAACAAAAAGGGCTGACCAAGACGGACATTGACCAGCTGCCTGTGTACAGGTTCAGCAGTGAGGCCGTGCGCTCCGAGTCCGACCAGACCTCCTGCGTGGTCTGCATGTGTGACTTTGAGGCCAAACAGCTGCTCCGTGTCCTCCCCTGCTCTCATGAATTTCATGCAAAATGTGTGGATAAATGGCTCAAGGTGCGTTGATTTCTGATTTATACTCTGTATGTTTTCTCCATATTTTAAGGGTCAGCATCACCTAGACGAAGGGGGGAAAAAATTCACCCTAAAACAACTGTTAGACCTTTACATTTTACAGCTATGAAACAGCATATAAATGTAGGCATGCATGAAGCCAAAATAAAATTTAAATGATTGGAACACATTTTTATATAAACAATTTTAAAAATTCAAACCAATACATTTAAAATTTTGCAAAGACTGGAACTAAACTGTACCATTTTGAAAAGTTAATCTTTTTTTTAAATTAAATCTAAGATTTTAATACCTATGGTTTTATAGTTAGGTCAGAAACATTCATATATTTTCAAACTTCATTACTATGTTATCCTTTAGTTCCAGCTATAGATAATGTAACCCAGCTTTTGACTTTTTTCATATAAATGGTGACTGGTATTTTGAAGACTTGTCCATACAAAACTAACCAGTCAAATTTTAAAAATTATTTTGCATCATACAGTTGGCCTAAATTTAAATGCTGTTTTATAACTGTGTAAACATAATCACCTTGGTAAAAATTTAATGTTTATTTTTTTGTCAATTTGTTTCCTGGGTGATATTGTCCCTTGAGACAGTTTTTTTCTCTCCTTGTGGTATATGACTCATCTCAGATTGTTACCTCATTCTTTCAACTACCTTTGTTCACCTTAATACATGATGGTTCCAATTAAACCTTTGAATGAATGTATGTTTCAGACAAATCGTACCTGTCCCATCTGCCGACAAGATGCCACAGAATCCAGTGGATGTGTAGAATAGCACAGACTGAAGGCTCTGTACTGATGTAGACCCAGAAAGATGAACCCTTCCTTACCAGAGAGCTGACATTGTGCACCCCCATACAGGGCTTCACAGAAATTTGATTCCATTGCTACTCATTTTTCATAATCAGGGACTGTTCTGTTGGAGTTAAACAATCTATTCTTTAAAACAGAGCATTTCAATACTTTTTTGTACAGCCTGACAGGAGAGTGACAAACCTTCACAGTTTGCCAAAGATGGAAGTTCATTCTTCACAGAGGATCTCATGGAATCAGTTTTGAGGGGGGGGAAATTCAGAAGTGGGAAAATTTCACCAGTTTTCTTAGATGGATAAAAAAAAATTCAAATACGAACATTGCATGCCATAAAGAGCTTGTTCATTTTATACAATTCTAAAATACCAAACAGGATATCATGAAAAAATTCTGTGACCTTTCTTTACATTAGATGGAAGTGATCAGTATTTTGAGTTCAAGGAAAACACCATTAGTGATTTTTTTTCTTCCCCCTTTAATGATGGAAAAACATATAGCACAGTGAAAATCTATTGACAAACTGATAGCACCCACTGCGCTTACTTCTAGGACTGTGTTTGTTGATTCTGTGAAGAATTGAGTGCGAAAACTCTACTAAACATTGACAAAAGTAGGATGGAGTGTTCATACACATTTAAATTGTACAGTGTGAAAACATGTAGTATTAAAGTTTGGTGACTTTATTTTTCTTGCTGTATGCCATGATAGTTTAAACCTCACTGTTTTTTGCTGATTAGAGCTAGTGCACTCACCAAGGGGACACCAGTGGTCTGCTCACAACTTGGTTGTGTGCACATGTCAGTCTACTGTTTTCATTCCATTCTAAACTGTTTGATATGCATACCAAATTTTTATTTTCACCTCCATGGCACAGTTGAAGCAGGGCTATCAGAAAAGTTTGAAGTGTCATTTGGTCTATCACAAAGTCAGTCAGTATTTGTCTTATAAAATGAAATGTATATTGCACATGATAAATTAGGAAGAGTTTGAGCCTGCTAGTGGTACTATTTAGGCAAAAAGTAATGATCCATTTTATTTGTTGTGAAAATTGGACCTGGGATACTTGATTCAAAAGCCCTGTCTTAGCCATATAACGTAGTGAGATTGAGCTATTTAGAACTGTACTGTCTGGTCTAAAGCCCGCCAGCTCAGGCCGCTCAGCCATGGGCTATTGAAGCCAGTACTGCTGAAGAGAATGAAAATGCTCTCTGTTGATTAAGTATGCAGTTGATCCCATCTGACATCCTAATTACCCATCAACACAAGCTCTATCCATTGTTCCTTGAGACGGAAACATTGACTTTACCAATGCACAGGAAAGTTTATAAAGTGCCTGTGTATTCACATGTATTGGCCAGTTGAAAGATTCTCAAACATACATACATATGTTGCATCTTGAATTTTTTTTTAAATAATTTTTTGTGTGCTCATTTTAGTACTGTTCCACTTGTTTGTTGGTGTCTGCATGTGCCTAGATGATGTCTATTAACTGTTTCATCTTCATTGCTCAATACTGCCGTGATTTGTTATATCTGGGCCACATCATGAGAAACACCACAACCTGCATATTAAGGCAGATCTTTTCCAAGATTTTTAGCTAGGGTGAGGATTTGTGTAGTGTTGAATGGGATAATACATTTAACCTCTTTAAACTACAGTATTCAGAATGAATAAAATCTTTAGACAATACAGGCTTCAATATTCTTTGTAGGGAATAATGATTTCCCTCTATGAAAGTATCAGTTCCTCATTTTCAAGCCATTGGTGCATGTTAAATTTTCTGTTGTATAACATCCTCAATTGTAACCAAAGCAGTACACATTTATATATATACCTAGTTTAGTAGTGGAAATGTGTAGTATTATGATAGAGATTGAGTTTATATTGGCATAATTTCTGTTAGTTCATAACCAGATGAATGCATCTAAGTGTGATAAGCATAAACATCTGTAACATTTCATTATTTACAAGAGTGGTTGAATGGAGTTGTATTCACCCAAGTAATAACAATGTCAGATTGGTAAAATATTGCTGCTACAATGATGCTTGATTTATAACAAAGCTTTTCTCTAACTATTAAAACCTCAATAATTCAGTATAATTTTTATCTTCATTGTAATTACCACACTTAGTGTCTGATATAACTCCCTCCCCCCATCTATAAATTTGATTAGAAGTTGTACTACATCATCAAGTGACTACTATACATACATGTATATTGCCTACCTTATCCAGCACTGGAGAAGCTGCAGATTTTTTTTTTTCTTTAATCAATTACATGGACTTGAAGATTATTGACATCACCAGCAAAAAGATTGTATCCTGTATTTCTCTTAGGTTGTTAACTAGAGCTTTGATTATTTGATACTGTATTCAGTTTATATACTTTAAATAAATGCCAGATCATTTGAAAAACTTATGTTTGATTATTCTTCAGTACGTTTTTTTATGAAAAAATTTTTTTACTATAGTTTTATCCACATTGTCTTGTCATTATTATTGCACAAACAAAATGTTGGCTTAAGTAAATCATTTATTAATTGAATAGACATCTGGAATTGTGAGTCTGGTTTCATCTTTGCTGAGCAATACTTGTTCTGTCCAGTGTATGTTGCATTAACGTAGCCATATAATTTTATGTGATACCAATATTATTAATGATAAAGCTTATCGTCCATGGCGAAAACAACAACCATTTAGCGCTTGTACAACATAAAGGAACTTGTAGGAGATATGTACAACATAAAGGAACTTGAAGGAGATATGTACAACATAAAGGAGATAGAACTATAGGCTGCTTCTAGTGATAATTTGGCCTGTACAGTTGTGCTGAGTGATATCATTTAAAGACTATCAGTGATAGGGTGAAGGATAGGACACCAAATCCTTGTGGTCCTTTGATCCTAGAGCCCCAACTGGCATACAGTTTTCACTTTTATTTCTACTTGCCCAGATATTATAAACATAGTTTTATCAGAGGCTGACCTGGGAGGCTTGTGCCCATGTATTGAATTGAGAGCCTTTAGCATTCTTTGTCAGGTGAAAGTATTTCTACTGCTAATGAATTATATTGAGAGCAATAAAGTATAGAAATAGTAGCAATAATACATGTTTTGCTACATCTGGTTTATGAATATTTCTTATGTAGATTTTTCATCCAAAACCTTTGAACTATGAACATGTTAGGTAGATCTAGGATTTTGCTTTGTTTTTAAGCTACATGTATGTACTTGTATAGTCCTCAAACACTTCATCACAAGATAACATCTTAATTGGCATGGGTTGCTAAGGTCCTTTATATGTTTCTCTATATTGCATTGCAAAAAATAGCAGGTATTGAATATAATTACCTACATCCACCTGCAGAATTTTAATTTCTTTTAAGTTAGTATTTGATTTGATTTTTATTACAATTTTTGCATTATAAATATTTGTAAAGTGTCAAAGGTTGTATTCAGCTTGGTAAAATTACATGTCTATTATCCTACATCTAGAGCTTCATTTTTTTTTGTTGGCTTTTACATTTTTGAATAACTGTTATATTGTTTCTGTATTTCATACAGTTTGTACAGTAAACAAATATTTTATAATTAAAATGTTTCTGTTTGAAATAATTATAATTGTTGGAATGCAGTTTTGAAGCAACAGTGTACAGTTTGTATTAACAAGTTTGTGGAATGGTTTTTTTTTTGTAAATGTATTAAAAAATTTTACTTTATAATTGTGCACGTTCCAAATATATAAGCTGTAGTGTAAGGTATGTTCCCCCTATGTCCGTTTCTACAAAAACTGCAGTTTTTTTTTAAACATAACGTAAATCAGGATGATTTAGATTATTTATTTTATTTAATTACTTAAAAGATGTATGCAGTTTCTGAAGTTGTTTTTTTTTTTTTTTTGCAAATAAAAAAATTAAATAATTTAATAAGACGTTTTGTAATTAAAGTATATTAAAACTATAGGTACAACACTATGTGGGAACAGGAAAATGTCCAGAACTGAAATCAGCACAAAGTAGTTTCTGTGTTCAAATACTGTCTCAAAATATTTCTTAGAATTGTCCTGATTTACTCAAGTGCTTGCAAAAACCTGACTACCTCACATTAGCTTCTCATTTCAACTTCAGACCTAATTCACCTGTAAGTTACCTTCACTGTTTACATCTCAGGTGTTGTCCTACAAACTTTTTTTTTCCCTCTTAGCTTTTATGGCTTACCTTATAATTTTTTTTTTAATTTTTTTTTTTTTTTTGACTTACAGAAACCATTTTGGTCACAATTTTTTGGGAAAGATGTATTTATTTATCTCTTCTCCCCTCCTTCCCCTAGTATTGGAAAGATGTTAAACATAGGCAAAAAAAAATTAAACTACTAGCGTACCTGAACAGCTAATTTCCAAATAACTGATTTGTTAAAATGACTAAACACACAAAAAGGTCTCGCAAATTACAACCCTGCTTGTTTCAACTTAACACAAACAAAAGGAAATGAGTTGCTAGTTGTTTTTTTTTATCCTAGTTGTTTTCCCACTCCTACGCCCCACCCTCCTTATCTGTACCTTTGGTTTCATATTTTTAATAAGCTTTGTTTAAGTTTTGTGTTTATTTCTGAAAATGAATCTTTAGAATCATAACATTTTTGTGTTAAACAAGTTCAATAGAAAATTAACAGTTACACAGAAAATGTTTTTTCTGTTGCTTGATGCTTAATTTATTGTGGTAAAATCCCTCTCACTTGATTTAATAGTTTACATTGACAGCTGCTTTGAGAAATATCCAGCACAAAATGTTGACAATAGTTTCTTATTGCATTTGATTACACTATCAACCAAGGCCTGGGATAGTTGTCTTTATTTATAATCAAGATCATTCATTAAATTAGACTTTGGGGTTTTGAAATAATTGATACTTTAATTACTTTTGTTTAAGAAGCTTTTTAATTCATAGATAAGAATTCTTGTTGAATTTTCTTAAGATTTAAAGCCTTCCATTTTGTTACATGGGCAATTTGACTTGTAGATTTTGTAAAAAAAAATTAAAAATTAATGAATAAAAGTTAATGAATTCTATACCTAATTGTATGTTTTATTTTTAGTAAATACGATTTATTTTTAAAGAAACATTTTGAATATTTATAAGAGCTTATTTAATTGTGCAATCACTTTTAATGAGAAAAAAAGGATTTTTCTAATTTTTTTTGTACATTTAGCAGTTTTTTTTATTTGTAGGGGAAAACTTTAAACAGATTTGGAATAATTTTAATGTAAAGTGGATGGAGTTTATATATAGTAAACTTTTTCCTACTCACATGTTGCTTGTAACTGGCTGTTTTCCATTTTTACTATTGTAATTTGTCTTGTATTAACACCTCATGCAAATAATACAAATTCACATTTATTGGTATCTACAAATTATATGGCAAATTAAAAAAAAAAGTTTAAATACACTGCTTCTTCCTAAATAGTTTTTTTTGTGTTTTTGTTTTGTTAAAAATTTCAATTAAGAGAACATTCAGGCCATAATTGTTCAACTTATATAAACTGCAGTCAAGAGAATTGGCAGGACTAAAATCTAGACCGACTTATAATCAGTAGAGGGATCAACATTAACAAATTTTAGAAATTTAACCAAACAAAAATCCTGTTAATTTAACAGAAAATTGAATAGTACACTGCATTAAATGAGCAAAAACAAATGCATTAAATCAGTAGCACATTTAGTAAATCATCACTGCTAAGTATGTTGACACTGATCACAGCACAACTTGTATAGAGGATCTGCATTAATTAGTCTGGGCCTGAGGGTTAGATGTACCCTTTCTACCAGGAACTGATGGTTTTTTCCTCCATTACCAGTATAGATTGTTAATTAAAAATGTTTAGACTTGAAGAAATACTTTCAAACAACAGTTTAGATTGTAGATAACAATTTTATTACATTACAGATAGCCTAGTTGGTGCATTTACTAGCAGAATATAATAGATAAGCTTACATAAAAGAATCAAACTTAGATATAGAGCTACAACTTGGAAGCAGATTTAATAGATGTACGTCCAAATTTACCCCTGTAAATTAGGAATAAAAGAACCTACAATAAGCAGCAATGAAAAATGTACATTCAAGCAACTAATGCCATAAATTAATATAATTTTACAAACCTTACATGATTTAATTATGTACAAGTTTTTCAAACCCATGAAAGAATATATAGGGTGGCGAGTAAAAATGTTTCTGTTTTTCAAAAATTGTCAGCAAAAATTAAATTATAATCCAATCTTAATTTGTGTGATAATGTGCATGCTTTGCAAATCTAAATTTAAATAACAAATTTTTCATTGAAACACCTTTTTTAAAAAAAATTTTATAATATTAAAATTTGAATAACTTACTGTTAATGGTTGTAAATATGATATAATGGATTTTTTGCAACTAGTGATTGCTTGTCAGCATTGAGTTAAAAATAAATTTTTTAAACAAAGCATTCATAATACCCTGACTTTAACCACCAAGTTGTAAATAAATCAAGAAGCACAAACAGTTAAAATGGGAAAATGAATACTAGAATAAAAATCTGTAAATACATAAAACAATATTTAGAAAGAAATTTTAAAAATAATTACTTTATTTTAAAATAAAGACTTCTGAGTGTTGAATAATTTATTTTTAAAATGACATTAAATATTAAAAAGCTGTAAAAGTAATTCAATTCTTCATTCTATACACTCTTCTCCACCCTAAATCATTAGTGTTCTCACAGATTTACACAGCTCTAAATGATTGACATACAGGGAAGGGGGGATAAATCTGTTAACAGGTTTTATATTCATCCAGCCACTAAAGAACTACATACAATTGTATCAAATGCAATGAGACAGTCTAAGTAGAATACATTTGGGTTTTATATTTCCTCGCTACTTTTAAGCCCTTTTTGTCAGAAAGAATTGGAAGCAAACAATCACACATCCAGACAAACTTAAATAACACATTCATAAAAACTCAAAAAAATGTTCCAAACTTCAGGGTATATATGTAAATATATATGGTAAAATCTTCCTAAAACCCCATGTCAAATATATACTGTGACAAGAAATTGGTATAAATCACATTAAATTCATCTGAAATACTGGTTCCATGAAATGTACATACTAAAGCATGAAAGTATTTTTGATGTTAAGAGCATTGCCTTGCCATTCAAACTTTTTGAAACATTTTCTCTTTAATATAGTAACACATGAATTTTTTTTTATATAGAATTGAATTGTCTGTTCTAATTTTAAAACAATTTTCCAAGTAAAGTTTTTAAGTTAATTTAAACCTGTCATATATAACTAAAATACAATTTCTAAAAATATATATATAATTTGTGTACAATCTTTTAAAAGTTTCATATTAAAATAAACTGATTGAAAGTGTTAAGAACATTATGATAAAATTAAACTCTCTAGTTAAAACAAAACTCTCTAGCTAAACCTCTTTGAATGGCAAGAACTTCTTGTTCCTTCATGCCATCACATCAAATAACTTAGAATTTCAGATTCCGGACACCAGTTCTCTGCTGAGACTTATCCTCAGACCATGACTTGCATTTGGCACGAAACTTTCTCAAATCTTCAGAGTGATTTTTGTCAAACATTGTCTTGTACTCTCTTGGCTCACACAGGTGCTGGTAAATAAATTACAAATTTTACAAAATGTTAAAAAACAAAAAATGCATTAATTATTTATCTATTGATCTGAAATGTCACAAGCTAAAAAGTAAATAATAAACTTGCACATCAAAATGCCGCTGCTTACAAAGGACTTACAGAATAATTTTCAAAGAAATTCTTGTAACCACCCTCCAGTAGATAAATCTCTGGGTAATGAAGGAAGGGATAGAACTCTTTGTTTGTCTCACGATCTTGACTGCGTAAGAACCGGAATCTAAAAGCAAGCATATTATTTTTAACATTTGCATAAAAAATATTATTTTAATAAATACCTAAACTGAATTAATTATTAATTACTAATGAACGATGCACAGTTCTAGTGATACTTACAGACCAGGCCCTCTTTCAGAAGAAAATTCACAATGAAAAACCAAGATTATTCTCTTTTTTGCATCTTTTACTGCTAGTGGTCTCCTAAGATACTTTTCAATCACGTCCTCTTTGGTGTAGACATTTTCGGCATTCTAGAATATAGAGCAGTATTTTGAAATAAAAAGAAAGCTGTTGGTTTATGTGTATAAAAACCACATGGAACACATTTTAAGAAGATCAAGATATTAGAACTTACGTGTATATGACCTCCTTCAAATTCATATGGGTAACGACAGTCTATGATATGATACTCCTCAACAACATCAGAAAACTCGTTATATATCAGACGACTCAGCTGATAGAAAGAAAGCATTTTCCAATTATAAATAGTTACATTTTCAGCTGAAAGCGAAATAGGTTGTTTTAAAATACAAAAACATGATTTTATTGTGCTTGATTTGTGCTTTCAGGCCCCTCATCTAAATTTAGAAAAAATTACTGTGGAACTATTTATATTGGAGAGTAAGTTATCTTCATTTGTGCATGCCCCCCCCCCCCCCCCCCCACTAACTCTCAACAACTACACATAAATGGATTGAAACAGCCAGTCTAATCAAGAAAACATAACTTACTGTTTCAGGTGTGATGGACTTGAGATCTTGATGTTTGCCTTTTATTGTAGGGAGACAGTATGGCTGGCAAAAAAATATAACAATTTAGCAAAGAGTATCTATTTTTTTTAATCTTCTGATTCAAACTCTATTCAAAAATACTCAACAACTTATGACACTAAAAACAAAAACAAAGGAAAAATTTAAGAACTTTTAATTAGCTCAAATTTTAAGGATATTTCCTTCAGCACGTAGTGTCTTCATTTTACCTTTGAACAGTCTCCAATAAGATCTGGCTCCAAAAACATGCGAGTCACTGCAGATTTAATCATAGCCTCTGTTTCAGAGTGACATCTGTGTAAACGCCGACTAAGAGGTACCTTTAAAACAGAATTTTCATACAACACTGGATCTTTTTTAAAACTTGGTTAGCCTGATTAACACCATTAAATAAGTCATTTTTTCATATTTTAATATTTATTTATTAAATATTTAATATTTTTTATATTTTAATAATAATTCTTGCAGTTCATTAAATATTAAAAGCTAAATTGATCTTTTATTTTAAAACTCAACATTTGCATAATTTGAGCCAAAATTCTCCAATTTTAAAAAATAATGAAATTAAAATTAAGTACTTGGTATCAAATATTTAGACTAATAAAAACTGTCAAATTTGAAACAAGCCTTACCTCAACCTTAGAGAGTTCAACTTCACTGATGGCACTGTTGGTGCAGACAACAGTCATGTCCTGCTCTCCCCTCCACCTCTTGTTCTGGACAGGTGTGGTGTCATCCTCTGGAGGTTCACTGCGTTTAAAGGATGGTCTCGGTCGGATGTCCAGTGACTGGGATCTATGCAAACCGCGTCTAATTACAACTGGTCGACTCTGTTAAAAAAATATTAGTTGTTATATTCTTGAGGCAAAGTTTCCCCACAAAAGATATTTATGATTAAAAAAATTCACTACGTACAGAGGGAGTCTCAATCTGACATCCACCAAAGGTAAACTTGATCCGCTTATTTTCTACCAACTCCACATCATCATTGGGTCGATGTAGAAGGGTAGCACTAATCAAAGTTGATACCTGATCATGTGCCTCATTCTTCAACTACAAGGATAACAAAATACACTGAATGTTAAGACACAAACAAGACTTGCCTTACACTAACATAGAAATAAAATGGACATGGACTAAAATAAAAAAATGGTATCCAGATCTCACCTCTTCAATCTCAAACAGTTCCTGAAAGCCATCATCAGATTTGCCTTTATTTTCTTCCAAACTTTCATTTGTCACCTCTGGGATCTACAGACAGAATTTTTTACTAAGTCAAGTGCTTAATACTTTTTAGCTATAATATGCAAACTACAATTCAACCAGAAATTAGTTTTGCTTACTGCAAAGTTTCTATCCATACATTGGTTAATAATTCAAATCAAGAACTTTTTGTTCCCTTTTATCTTAGTTTCAATGGACATGGGATTTTTATAAACAAATGATATAAAGTTCAAATAACATAAAATCAACTTACATGAGCAAATAACGCCTTGGAGAATGATGGGCGAGGAAGTGATGAAGATTTGACAGGGGAGTATTTAATTGGTGAGCATGTGTCTTCATTATAGTGTTTGTCTTCCATCAAACTTCGAGATCTTTTGGGGGGTTTACCTTTAGGAGCTTTAAAACTGGGTGAATCCTGGGGTTAAAAATAATGAAATTTACATTTTTTAAACCATATTTTTTTTTAAAAGAGAAAATTAAATACGAAAATGTTTTATGTATTGTCTAAAGCTAATGATAAATATGAATATCTAGAAAACAAAGACTTACATTCCAAATATCTTCTAAGGATGGCAGATGATCCAATTGATTCAAAGAAGAGTTAGAGGAGGATATGGATGAGACATCATCAAATGTGGAGGAGGATCCCCTCAACTTTTGGTTGGGTGAAGACACACAAGAGACAGCATCATCAAAGCTGGACATGGAACACCGCTACAGGGAGGAAAAAAACAACAATTAAATTATTTTATTTCAAATAATACTAACATGTTAGTTATATACACTAGTGCTCATCCCAAATAGTGGCCAGTAAACTTTCTCTTTGAGAACCTTTCATATTTATTTCTGCTCACAAGTATTTACATAGTTTCACTTCAGGTGATTTAAATTATGTTATTTGAACTTTCATTTCAAAAATATTTTTCTAATAGAAGATCTTGTACATAACAAAAAGCGACCCCTGTATCCATCCAAATAGCACATGTTGAAGCCATGACCCAACAGAGTGTGATATATAACTAGCAAGGATATATGAGCTTACCCTGTCAGACTCAAGCCCCAGTCCACTGTCCTGTGACATTGTCTCATCAGAGTACAACCTGTTGCTGTAATGGCTATTCTCATCAGTTTCATGGTGGCCATCAATGTCATGGTGAAGGTTCTCCTCATCCTCCTTGTCCTGCTCCAGGAAATCTGTCGGGCTGTCAAGCCTCAATGTTGGAAGCTACAAAACAAAAACATAATGGCAACTGAGGACAATTTTAAAATTAAGCATGTTTTTATCCTCCTGCTTTATGTCTAATTAAGGAATCAATCAACACCTAGTTACACACTTACAGGCTGAGAGTTGAATCTCCTGAAGGATATTGTCTTTTTTCTGAAACAAGTCATTGATTTTTTTGTTTGTTATCTTACTAATGGGTGTTTCTAAATATAGACAAACTTTTTTGAAAATAGTTCTAGTCCTATGCTATTAAATAGATAACGTAGAAATGTGCTCATTAAATGTATTAATTTTAAAAATGTATTTTACATTTGAACAAGAGTTGAAATATCAAGTTTCTTACTTTAAAGAAAAAGCCTCCAAAGGGATATCTGGATGAACTTCTGAGTGGTATCTTTTAATGCTCAAGCTTTAGGAAGAAAAAACAATTGGTTAATGATGTACTCTCATACATATTTGCTATACAGTTTAACAAGTTTTTATTTATTAACACACCATGTTAATACGTTTGAGCTTGGTCAAATCTTTTAATCAAATTCTACTAAAACAATTTCCAAAGTGTATCTCCAATACCAATGCATTAATTAAAGGCAAAATTAATGGTATCAATTCCTAACACTAGTGCTTGTGAACGTATATGAATTTTATAGCAGAGGAAGACACTTATAATGGGCAAATAATACAGGTTTTCAATGTATTATTAAAAGAATATATTTTTCAATACATTTTAGTGAACAACCCTTAAAGTAAATATATATTTATTTTCTTTTTGGTCTATTTAAGTGCATTTAAAAGCTACTGAGTATACATTTTCTTTTATGTACAAAGGAAGTGTAGTGGTAAGTTGCTGCAGATGAAAAGGGAAATAAGTGTATTCACTCTTCACATCTGAACAAAGACTTGGTTGTAAATCTAGCCCAGGGGGAGGTAAATTATATGTAGTAGTGATAAAAGACTGGGGTCCTGGACCACCTAAGAACACAAGTGCCTTGATGTCTTTAATTAGTAACTCTCCAGTGTTGTGTAACCAGAGTGATCTCCCTGGCTCTGACCAGCTGATCAATTCTTACAATGAGGGTAAACAGAGAGTACCACATTTACATAAGTCAGTGATAAGCAACCACTTGAGATTACAGGATATGCTAATTAACCATAATTGTATTCTTCAGATTCAAGTTATATAACCACAGCTCATCTGGTTTGTTACTGTTTAAATAAATCAGCAAGACACACCATTGACTTGTTAATGTGTATGTTAGTATTTGAAAATAATTTAAACTAATAACATAGATGGAGTTAAGTAGTAAAATATCTAAGCCACTTTGATGTGTTAACTCATTCAAGTCAACATGTGTTTTAATCATTATGCTTAAAACATCTGAACATTTTCATAAAAATGATTGCAAAAAAGACCATCAAGCCATGTTTTACATAAGGGGCCATGAGGCCATGTTTTACAAAAGGCCATCAGACCATGTTTTACAAAAGGCCATGAGGCCATGTTTTATTAAAGGCCATTAGACCATGTTTTACTAAAGGCCATTAGACCATGTTTTACATAAGGGGCCATGAGTCCATGTTTACAAAAGGCCATCAGACCATGTTTTACATAAGGGGCCATGAGGCCATGTTTTACAAAAGGCCATCAGACCATGTTTTATATAAGAGGCCATCAGACCATGCTTTACATAAGGGGCCATAAGGCCATGTTTTACATAAGGGGCCATGAGGCCATGTTTTACATAAGGGGCCATGAGGCCATGTTTTACATAAGGGGCCATGAGGCCATGTTTTACATAAGGGGCCATGAGGCCATGTTTTACATAAGGGGCCATAAGACCATGTTTTACATAAGGGGCCATCAGACCATGCTTTACATAAGGGGCCATAAGACCATGTTTTACATAAGGGGCCATGGACCATGTTTTACATAAGGGGCCATCAGACTATGTTTTACTAAAGGCCATCTGATCAAGTTTTACATAAGGGGCCATGGACCATGTTTTACATAAGGGGCCATGGACCATGTTTTACATAAGGGGCCATGGACCATGTTTTACATAAGGGGCCATGGACCATGTTTTACATAAGGGGCCATCGGACCATGTTTTACTGTAACCAAGTGGGCCCATGCTGGATCTGACCCACATAACCAGGGCGATGATGCCCCAGGCAGTCCTGTGTGTGCTGTAATCGCCAATCAGCTCTGGTTGTTGGTGCTGATGATAAAAAGGTGTCGATTTTCAACAACCCCGGCAGTGGCACGTCTCAATGGACGGGGCCGGGAGAAACTTGTTTCACAAGTGGTCAGACGAGAAAATCTGTTTCACGTGTGGTCAGACCAGCCCAGGCACGTCACGGCGCTGGTCAGCGTTAGGTCATTGTTGGGTAAGTATTCGCGGTCACGCGTTAGCACGTAGTTGCCGTGAAACGTTACAAGGTGTAAACAACAGGGGGCGAGCGGGGTGGGGGGTAGTGGGTTGCGTTATCTATTTTACATAAGTTCTCAGCCCAGCACCGTGACTGATACAGAACACGGACACATTTAAAGTCGGACACATCTTAAAAACAGGGACATTTCAAATATAACAATCAACGAGAACATCGGGTAAATTTAATATGGCGCGCCGCTGGGGGAGGTGAGCAAAACCATTCCATCGTCTGCGACTGAGCCTCGTTTTGGCGCCAGGCTGGCTTGCTCGGGGAGAGGATAAAGAAAGAGGGGAGCGTGCCAGAAGTCAACGGTTGACCAAAGCCGAGCGATGAGTGGGGGAGGGAGGGGGAGACACAGGAAATATGCCAAAAGGAAACCGTTGCCACGGCTACTAGAATCGTCTAGCCCTGCAAGCAAAAAGGTTCAAGCAGGTGGAACAACAATCAGACACGCCCCGGTGGCGCTATCAAACCATTTGCTTTGAGTGAAACATCCACATAGAGCCTATCTAGTCCGTGTATCTCAAAGACTTCATTAGAACCTTTTAGTAGAAGTTCACGGGGTGTGTGTGTGTGTCCGGGGGGGGGGGGGGGGTATTTATATCATCACTTTAATCTGAATCCTTGCAATTATTTGCAATGTCCAGGATGTTCCATTAAGAAAACTGTAAGTTACTATTTTAATCAAATTGCCATCAATTACAACAATAAAAGAGACCTACACGGTCCATCATTGTCAAACCAAGACCTCCGATTAGGGGCACGAAAAAAAAAAACAACTTTGAAACACGTGTTTACATTTGGCTTAATGTTGAATAATTGCCCAGACAAACCCATCGTATATCTACAGAAGCAGAGGAGTTTTTTATAGAATCCATCTGCATAAAAAAGATATCAAACGTCTTCCCATCTTTTTGTGTGTAGAGTAACGTTTGAAGTATGCCTCAGATGAAAGAGACTACTTGACTGCGATGAACCGCCTAGCGTTAGATATTCTGTGAGATAAAGGTACATCGAGGCGGTGTCCATTACAGATGGTACAGATGACCGCCCCACACGGTCACACAATGCGCTGCTGATACCGGCCCGACCCTCAAGGAAGGAGTGGTCAGTGGGTCACAGCTGAGTTACACGAGGTCACTCGCCGTCTGCCCACCCCATCCCTCCCCCCGGCGGGGGTGTGATTTATTTTACAGCCACTTCCTGCTGGGCGGGCTTGACGGCCCCGTGGCGTAACGCGAGGCTCGGGGGTCAGGCGTTATCGGAGGATGGTCAGTGGGGTACAATAGGTCGAGGGCGGCCGGGGATAAAGCCGGCATTCAACAGTTGTCCTCGACACGGGACGAGGACATCCTTTAGCCGGCCCGAGCAAACACGGGGAGAAAGGACTCGGACACTGCCACGTACGGCCGTCTGCCGTGTCACACACTGACACGACATTTTAAGCCAATTTTTCAAACCACAACCGCTGTTTATCAAGCTGACCAGGATTTACAAACCACATTCATTACATAATTGAAAAAAAATTATCTTTTTAGTGAAATAATTATAATATGAGGGTGGGGGGAATCAACCATCATTAATTTAAACATAGTCGGCCCACTCATCGAAGCATAAAAGCGATGGCAAAAAGTAAGTGTGTAGCCTACTGTGGTGGCAAGGTGTGGGAAATGGTGTGTTGTGTTTCGTAACTTTCAAATAAAAAAGTTTCCACGAAATGTTGAAGGATCTACCAGCGTGCCATACGACGCTCAAATAAACCAGGAACTATGTGTCTCCCACTCAAGTGTGTGGCTTGGTGTCATCTCTACATGGCGTGTGGGAGTTTTCCGTTCAACTAACTGTTGCATCTTTGTCTCGCTCATGTGGAAGGTGGGGGGGGGGGGCAATAAACAGCTGTGAAAGGTTAAAAGGTGGGGGGGGGTGGACCCAACAAGCAGCTGTAAGGTGGGGGTGAACCGGCCAGGCAGCTGTACCAAAACTTTGAAACCACCAGTTGAAGGGCTTGGAATAGTCAGACGGTACACTTGACCGCATTTGCCTTGACAGACCGTGATACATGTTTGAAAAAAAAAACAGCTAAGAAAGAAGCAACAGGTTGAAATTGGCGCCACTATAGCGACAACAAAGGTCTTAACACAGGAAACACAAATCGTGACCTAAAAAAGGCCATCTGGCGTTCAGGTAAAAAAGTAGGTGAACACAACCCAGTCGCCTGGATTGATCCACGCTTCCCACTCGGCTGGTTTGTTTTAATAACGCTAAACCTCGCGATAAGCCTCGCGACGTGGTGAAGAGCATGGGACAGAAATAAAACAAACATAAGTACCAAATAATTAGTGGGGGAAAAAATAAGAATTTAAATACGTGTGTAAAGTCATGCCAAATTAATTGACACATTTAGAGCACACCATTAATTAAGATGTGTTGGTGTGATATTTAAACAGACACATGAAGACCACGGACACATGAAGACCACGGACACATGAAGACCACGGACACATGAAGACCACGGACACATGAAGACCACGGACACATGAAGACCACGGACACATGAAGACCACGGACACATGAAGACCACGGACACATGAAGACCACGGACACATGAAGACCACGGACACATGAAGACCACGGACACATGAAGACCACGGACACATGAAGACCACGGACACATGAAGACCACGGACACATGAAGACCACGGACACATGAAGACCACGGACACATGAAGACCACGGACACATGAAGACCACGGACACATGAAGACCACGGACACATGAAGACCACAGTCCCCCCCCCCCCCCCCACACGTACCACACGTACAAGAATACTAACTTACCTGTGTAATGTTGGAGAGTCATCTATGGGGGACTCTGAGAAACAGCCTAGAAAAATACAAGATTTGATTGACAAAATGACGGTAATGGTCAGACTCATCTGACCGCCCTATTACCCACACGGTCAGTTTACCCAAGGAAGAGTGGGGGCATATTTGTGCTGAGATTTAACTCTCATCCTTTACAAGAGATTTTATGTTAATACCAAACTGCTCTTATAGATTAGCCATACCAACGTATCGCCACTATCGCCACTGACGATATTTTAACAGAGTTTAGGGCCGCGACTAGGGTTCAATTAGTGTTGGAGGTATAGATATCCATGATACTATTTACAGGGCCGTGTGGGTTGGGCAAATCGATATTTCCCATAAAGCGTCAGCAGTTTGAACAACGTATAGGGCCTCGCCCTATAGTCAAAGGCTGTTATTCCACCTACATCTAAAAATACTACAATCAAGGCAATGTGCAAGGTAACTTGGCAATCAGACCAGTTAGTGTGGAACTATGTGGGCGACTGAGTACAAGTCATACAGGAATTTTTTTAAAAGATATGGGCGTCAGTTCTAAACACAGCACGGTTATGCAGAGGTGGGCAATCAATACCATGATTAACCAATGAGAACACTGGGATTTTCCCGCAGCTGTGACGTCGAAATTCAATTTTCTCGAGGCCAACACACCAGGCTTGTTGTGTAACACGGTGGTGTGTTCAGGTTAAAAGATAGATATTAGTGGGCACATCATTTGGACACCAACAGAAGATATTAAATATACTTTTTTTTCTACCTAAGTTGATGAAATCCAAGGGTTATGAGGGTTGTTTATACTTAAAGGGGTAGTGATGGTAGAATATTTGGCAAAGTATCAATAGTGTGTCACTTGTCTATCCGATATTCGTAATAGGTATTTAAAAAAAAACATACGAGGTATTCGTAACATGTCCAACTTGTATAAAACGGCTTCAGTTAGCCACAAAGGAAAGTCTATAGATCCAATAAAATCGCGGGGTAGCCTGGGTGATGGGAGGGGGGGGGGGGGTCATAAGGACACTGCACGTCACCTGTCGGTGAGCGACACAGTTCAACGTCCTGGGACTCACCCGGGCTATCTTATACAGCCCCATACATCAACGTCTCCATTCACGACTAGACTATGGGCCGCACATGCACAGACGACCGTGCGCCCTCAATTAGCCAACCTATCGGCATACCATCTCGGTGAATGACTTTACTACTGTAAACCATCCATTTATCTGCTCAGCAGACACAAAAAACTAACAGCCTATTTGTGATATCGCTTTCATAACTTTAGGTCCCTAAGTTCTCAATGAGTAGAGACAGGTTTGTGAGAGGGGGTCGGGGTTGTTCTATTCAATTTTGTCTTGATTTACATGTAGTAAATACATTTTCTTCAAGCTAGAGTGACGCCATCTGCCTTATCTTCACGCCACATGAACAAAGGCATTATCAGACACCCCCCTCCCTCCCCCACCTTATCTCTACGGGCGGCTGGGGGTAGGGCGGGCTTAAAGAAAGCCCAAAATGCCAATAAAATGTTCAGCAGCTGCCCCAGGGATCATTGTAATGCTGTGAGGCCCCTAAAGCATTCATTCACGGCACACATTTTACATGTGGGTGTGGGGAAGGAGGGTGGAGGGGAGAGAAGAAGGTAGAGGGGGCGGGAGGGGTGTAAGGAGTGATGATGAAACAACCCACAATGAAAGAAAAAAAGATGATCAAGCACAAATCATTCACCTAAAAAACTGAAGTGGCCCCAACAGCACAGAGATCACAAGAATGATAATTTATACTAAAATTATAGAACTACACAGTACATTATAAAATTTAGAAGAACACTTTGTAGCTACAATTTAACTGTCAAAAGTATAAAGACAGCTTTGAGAAACAATAAACATGGTTTACTCAATACTAAAAAATAATCCACACTGTTGATCTATTGTTACGCCCAATAATTAGCTATTACATACCAAGACATAACAGTCATACTCAGAACAATTGATGTTTAAAACTATCAATTAAAATGTTTTAATTAAGGTATAATAGACATTTATTTTCTGCATAACATGATAAATGTTGCACAATGTAAAGGTATAGCCAGTATATGGCCTAGCAACTAAACAGGGCTCAGGTAGATTAGTAAATACAGTGTTTAACATAGGGAGACAAATACTTCAAACAGGAACTTTTAATAAAGTGTGGGCAATCTACCAAATCCTCTCAATTTGAAAAGATTGTGTTTCATTTTATATTAGGCCTGCCTGCTGCTTGAGTAATTAGGGCTAACTTAAAAAAAAAATTAGTGCCAGAATAAAACAACAGTATTCAAAACTGTATAAGAACAACTATGTTGCATCCTGCAGAAAAAAATATATGATCTCTGTACACTCTTTCACAAAGAAGACAACTTTAACAGCAGATACAGATCTTACTGAATAATGTATTTCAATAGATCTTGCAACAAATAAATCAGTTACTGAACAAATATATTTCAATAGGCCTCACGACGAATGAATCAGTTACCATCAAGTTGAACATTGATCTACTAATTAAACCACTGACTGATGCCTTACAACCAGTCCAACACCTTATCATGCTAATCAAGCAATGAAAAAATAGCTTACAAACTGTTACGGAAACTAGTTACATGAGATTATGCAATGAAACAAAAATAATTACCTGATTCAGCGGAAACTGTGCAATCAGATCGCAGCTTATCACTGTCCCCAGGAGGGGTATCCACACTACTCAGTGATAACTTCCTTCGTAGCCTTGGTGTTGTTCTATAATGTCAAAATAAAACAAATGTAATGCAACCTATTACACCTCTATCAAAACAAAGATATCTATGTATCTATATATATATAAATGTATATATATGTAAATGAAGTAACTTTTTAAAAAGTTGACATATTACCTTCCAGTAGACAACTCGCTCAAGTTAAAAGCAAGGGATGACATGGGAGAGTTGGTCAAATTAGAAAATCCTGATTCACCCGTGTAAGACATGGTATTAGAGTGCAGTGCTGTTATATTCTTGAGAGGCAAGTTAAAGCTTTTACTTCTCTTTGACATCTTTTGCTATTAATTAAATCTACAAATGTATTTTTACTTAAAGCTCCTCCTGGTCTATACTACATTTGCCAATGGGATGGAGCTTTGTCACATTATTAACTACATTCAACACTGAAAGTGAAAAAATAATAAGCACCTTAAAACAAAAGGTTTTTTTTTATACATCTTGTAATAATAAAACTATGTAATACAAAATGTAATGCTCAATATGCATCCTGTTTGAACTAATTAATTCTAATTAATATATGAATTTAATGTAATTGGAATATAAGCCTCTCCTTGCTAAATTTCTATTAAGCCTTTATTAGCATTTGATCTGCCATCTAAGTTGTTATGAAGCCTAATTAATAAAATTAACACACAAATTTGTATGGACTAAAGCACATAATTTAACCTAAAAAAATCTTACGAGAATCGATCAATTAACCTAAGATTTTTAATGGGAATAAATAAATATGCATACATTAAAGATACAATTAGGGTTGGTCTAGTTTTGTAATATAGGCCTAATAATTTTTTAAAATTGGCAAAGCTAAGTGGTAATGTCTAAGAGAAGATGTGTAGTTAAGTCTAATGGTAATGCATGCTGTGTGCACATATTAATTTATAACATTGTAGGCCAAACATTTATTTTTTTAAATAGTTTTTAAATTTAGATCTTTCAAGTCAAAGCTAGTTTATAAATACATGAAATAACAAATATCATAGGCGTTAAAATTAATTATAGTCATAAGTAATCCAATCAACAGTATATTAAAATTGTCAAGCAGACTGCTGCACTAAACTAGATCTTAATGTTACTTAGTCATTACTGGTTAGATATAATATAGACTAGACCCTCTAGCCACTCTAGGTCAATAGATACTTTTTTTGAATTTTAATATTAGGTTCTAAAAGCTTACAATTTGCTCGATCTAGTCTAGATCAAAACAAGATTCTCCAGTACTAGTAGACAGACATTTATTCATTAGGCCTACACTAGTATTTTATAGTTAGACTTTAAAAGACTAGATCTAGATATATCTAGATCTAGTATTATCTAGATCACCTAGATTAGATCTAACTAAGTCTAGCCTAGATCTAGCTAGATTTAGAAAAAACACTAGATTTCTAGATCTAGAACTCTAGGTTTACCATGGCCCAAGGCCAAGAAATTAAAACTGCAGGCCTAAATAAATAATATAGTCAGTTAACTTGAACAATAAACATAGTGTCTAGATCTAGATCTAATTTAACTTAATAAAAGAAAAAGCCAAAAAATGTTAAGATGTTTAGGACGGTCTATTGTCTAATGTTTGTTTTTGTTTTTTTTACTGTGGCTGTGGTGTGTGAATGTTGTGAGAAGTCTAGTTATAACTGTAGGTCTAGTTACTATTGTAATTCCGTGTGAGAGTGTGTGGTGAATTACTTACGAATAAGCAATAAAGCTTTTCAAATGAATTCAAAGCTATGTCAGCATGTTAAACAAATATTTTAAACAACACACAGGAACCTAAAGTACTAACAATGCTATGACGCTTTCTCAGGTTGGATGTGTCTGGGCACATTACTCTACCACCGCCACTAAGTTTGAACAAAAACATAGATCGACCAATCAGCAGCAAGCATTCGTGTGTCCTTAGTTATGAGAAGAAGTGAAACAAATATTTGACTTATAATACTAAACTTTATTTTAAATATGGTTTATAATTAAATCATTAAATCCCAAATAATACATTAGTATATGATTGGGAGAGGAGTACAGAATTTTAAAATAAATTGTAGTAAATTATGCAGGTTGGTTAAACTCGTATTTTTTCTGACCTCTCTGACCTCTATGAACAAAATTAAAACCTTTTGTTTATGCATAGTTCATAAGTAAAAAAAAACACATAGATCTAGATCTATTAGAAATCATTAGAGGCTTATGTCGAGTAAGAATGGTGAAAATTATGATGGGATATTTAAAAATAAATCTATTGAAATTATGTTTAAAATATAGTTTTGGCAGTTATATAATGGCGTTTAGTTTTTGAAAACTGTTGTATTAAAATCATATATTATTCAATATATTTCAGGCACAGTGTTTCTTTCAGGCATCTCTTCATGGTGGCAATGTACCCCCGCCCCCAACGAATTAGTATATAGAAAATATATACTTTTAACAACGTCCGCCCCCCCCCCCCCACCCGGAGAAAAAGTCTGGAAGGTACTGTTTAGGCATCTCTTTGGGGAGGGAATGGGGGGGTGCCCCCTCAAATCAAATATAATTTATAAACAAATATGTACTTCAACTAGTGGGATGGGTGGGCACTGATTTAAAATAGATCTAGATTTATGCTATCCCTCAATATCGGAGTGTAAGATTTAAGACTACAGACCCACGCTTACGTGAAAAGCCGTATCGAGTTTACTTACTTTTTAAAAAATATATATACGTCCCTGTTTCAAAATATGTAACAACTCAAACAAAACGTCCAGACAATCGAATCGATTGAAATTTTCGAGGGGGGGGGCGGACTAAAAAAAGACTGTTAAAAGTATATATTTTCTATGTAAATTATATTTCGTTGGGGGTGGGGGGTAGACCTTTTTCGCTCAGCCCCCTCCCCTCCCCGAAGATATGCCTCAAAGAGTCTGCCAGGGACAATGTTTGGTAACCATATAAATAAGAGCCTTTGTGGCTAATTCAAGTGTCATTGACAATCCCTGTTCTCCAGAGTTTCTTTCATCCACCTCTTAAGGGAGAAAATTTATACTTTAATAGACTTTAATTATTGTTCCTCCCCCCTCCCCTCGGAAATTTAAGTCCTCCCTCTCCAGGAAAGTTTTATGCGTCCCCCCCCCCCCCCCACCCGGGAGAAAAAAGTCTGGAAGAAACACTGATCCACGGAAACTGCTAACATTAATTTTCAAATAAAGATCATTAGTTAAATTGTATTGCTTTTTTATAACCACCTGCAATATTCGCACTGTGAACTAGAAAATACGTTGCGTCGCGCCCATTGTATTGCGTATTGCTTTTTAAACAAAAGGCTGTGAAAAATAAAATTAACTGCTATAAAGCGAATGTCAAAATGACATCTTGACTGACAAGTTTGATTGGCCGCCATGATGACATTTTGAATGACATTGCTGATTGAGCATCACCATGTCATCATGAATGAGATTGTTGGTGTAGCATCACGATGACATCTTGAATTTGAATTGCATTGTTGAGTGAGCATAACGAAGACATCTTGAATAGTACTTTGATGATTGAGCTTCACGATGACATCTTGACTTACAACGTTGATTGAACATCACGATAACATCTTGTATGGCAATGTAGATTAGGCATCTTTTGACAATTCTCTGGACGAAAACATTGAATGCTATGGTTTAAATACGTCTCAAGACTTTCCTACAAGGTAAAGGAAAAGAGGCACTTAAAAGAACTGATGGGAAGACAACATCGAAGAATGGACGGGTTCATCACTGGGGAAGTCATTTGGATGGTAGATGACAGGGATTAATAAAGACATCTAGTCAATAGAATATTTGTTGCGCCTAAAAGGTCTAACGGACAACGGGTCATAGATAAATAATATAGATAAATATAGATACATAAAAATATAGTTGAAGGGGTTTAGCCAACGTAAAATCGCATTTCGTAGGGAGTTTAAAATCATTCCAACTTCTCTATGTGTTTCTTATCCAGCATTTTACTGAAGAGGCAAAGAAAAAGTTCTTGTAAAGCTCTTCAGTTTCTTCCTTGGGCTTCCCTTGCCTCTCTGGTTTAGTTACTAGTACAACACTAGCCATGACATGTGTGTTTAGTAATCAGCGTATACCTGGCATCGCTCACCTTAACCACAACCAACCAAAACCGAAAAAAAAAACGCAAACATAACACAAAAACGCAGACACAAATGCAAACACAAACGATAACACAAACACAAAGAAAACACAAACAAAAAAGCAAACGAAAACAAACCAAATCCAAACGTAAACACAAACACAAACCCAACCACAAACGCAAACCCAACCCAAACACAAAGAAAACACAAACATCAACGCAAAGTGCTCACAGTCTAGCCCGGGGCGCAAAATCGCACCATGTTGGGACGCCGGCAGAACCGCCTTATTCAGCTTACTAAACGACTGTAGTACCCCAACTTATTCATAGTCTTTTGCACTTACTTAAATGAACGTAGGCGCCATAGCGAACACGGGAAGGCCCGGGGCGTCAAATAGCGCATGAGGACGCCCGGATTTGATTCATTTAAAGACTATAGTAACCTCTTTTATCCATAGCCTATTGCACTGTTTAAAACGAAATTATGCACCACAGCATTAAAAAAGTAACCCCCCCCCCCAATGTATTGGTTTTCAAAGGGAAATAATTGTGTTTTCCTAATTCATCGAGGAAGTAATAAGAACTAAAGGATTTAATGTAAATAATTTTCAGACACAATTAGAATTTTTGTGAAATGTGATACATCTCAAGATTTTTAAAAATTTTGTGTGATGGACATGCCGACAATTATTACTATTTATAAGTTTGAAAAATGAAAATTGTTTTACAACAGCTTCAATATTAAACTTTTTAAACCATTAATTTAAATGTTTAACACTATGACTAAGAAGTCTATTATTTTCTTATATTTCTTTGATATCCGCGGTTTGCTGGCACAAACATACATAATTGAACTTCATATAATAGATTATATTCCTGACATTTTTACTTTCTCGTATATACGAAGTATAGAGAAAGTCTTGTAATCGTGCAATAAAAAAACCCCAAGATTTTTACAAATCTCGACGTTTTACACCTCACTGATACGGAAAAACATAATTTTGCAATCTTGTCCGTATGTCTGTGTGTCTGTGTGTCTGTCTGTCTGTCTGTCCGTGTGTAAACACGATAACTTGAGTACCGTTACAGCTAGGTTGATGAAATTTCATATATAAGTATTTTATCAAAATCGTAGATCCGTATCAACTTGTGAGCGATTTCCGATAACCGGAAGTGGTACATTTCCTACTTTGAATTTTTTAAAAGCCTATAACTTGAGTACTATTTCAGATAGATAAATGAAATTTCACATGTAAGTAAAAGATCTAATTCTCTTCCTTCTGTTAAATTTTGAGTAATTTCCGTTGACGGGAAGTACTAATTTACGCTATTTCCGATTTCTCAAAAACGCATCTAAATTTATAAAGAACTAATAATATTGCGCACCATTATGAACATCTTTATTCGGCGTTCGCTTGGTGCGCAATACTTTTTTCTGTGAGATTCTATTCTATTTTAAAAAGTTTAAGTATTTAAAATGGATTAAAAATCATAACTATATCCCGAGTTCCCATCCCCTGTTGTTTTATATAAGAATATTCGAGAAAGTTTAGGGGAGATCACTCCCGGTTTATTTAACGTAAGTTCTTGTCAATCTATGACGCAAAAAGTGAGCAGAGTTTCTTCCAGGCATCTTTTCGGGGGGGGGGGGGGGGGCGAAGAAAGTCTACCCCCCCCCTTCCCGAACGAGATGGAATTTATATACTTTTACTAGTGTTGACCCCCCCCCCTCCCCCGAAAAATATCAAGTGGAAGTGAGTGTGTGAAGAAAGCGAGCTCGGACTTTTTTTTATTTTAAAGTGACTAGTGATAGTGACTTTGTACGAGTGTAACTAGTGTTTCTTTCAGACTTTTTTCTCCGGGGGGGGGGCACTTGAAATTTTCGGGGGGGGGGGGGGGCGGTAGACTTTCTTCGGGAGGGGGGGACGACACTGTTAAATGTATATATTTTCTATATACATTCAATTTCGTTCGGAGGGGGGGGGGGGGGGGCGGGAGACTTTTTTCGGGGGGGGGGGGGGCCTTCCCCCCAAAGAGATACCTGGAAGAAACTCTGAGTGTAACGAGTAGCAGTTAATGGATAAATATCGTTATAAACCGATTTTTAAAAAAAAATATTTTTAAAAAATATTTTAAAATGACTAAGGGAAACAACTTACGTAAAATAAAATAAAAAGAACAATAAAAATAAAAGATTTATATTTCCTTTACTTTTTATTGAAAATTATCTAGTTTATAGAGTTATTTTAGACTAGGAATATTATAAGAAGCTATTATTGTTGCATGTGTGGAAGGATCTGAAGGGGTCGTCCATGATAAATGTCAGAAAGCGTTAAAAAAGCGTGACGTCATTTATAGACTACCGTAATTTTGTGACGGTATGTGATGAGGGGGAGGGGAAGGTTCAGATGATGTGACGTCACACCTTTGCATTATTAAAAAGCAATGTTAGAAAACGAGTTTTAGCAGTTATTTCGCGTTTTAGAAAACGGTTTTTAATAAATGGTATAGGAATTGATTAAAATACTCTATTTTGAGAGAGCTCAGACAAGATTTTGGAAAATATCGTATTTTAAGAAAAATTCAACTGCAATTTTGAGGGGGGTTGTAGGCTGAGGTATGACCGTCATTTTAGGGGGTGGGTTCTGGCTTTTTGTGACGATGTGTGATGGAGGGGAGGGGGGAGGTAAAAATCGTCAAAAAAAGCGTGGAGTCATTTATGGATGACCCCTTAAAACACGTTTGTGCTTAAACACACACACACACACACGTTTTTTGAGGTTGTTCGCTGTCGCTACTGATTAAAGTGATTAGTGCTTTTTTCTTATCACATCTCTTTTGTACATAATAACGACTAGCCGCTCCTGCCTACCGTAAAAACCTGCGTACGCTTCTGGGTTAATGGCCCCCTCCCCGGTCTTTTAATGTCCTCCGGCCCCCGACTTTAATCTGTTACAGAGGCGTAGCGAGGGCGGGGCGGGGTGACACCAAGGCTAAATATTGCAAAATTTACGGAAGAAAAATACGATTTTTTTTGCCAGTGCCCAGTTCAATTAATAATTAATTTAAGTTAAATAGTCTTTTACGTACAAAATAAATAGACAATTATAATATATATTATTTATAACCATGGGGTTGGGGTGACACCATGACATAAATGTTCCAACTTAAGAGAGCTACATCCGGCTGTATTATTAACAGACTATAGATAAACATCGTTACTATTAAGTCTGCAGTGATCAAAGCTTATACACATACATGTATGTACGTGTATGTGACATATATTTAAATTATAGGTCTATGTAAGCCGATACCCACATTCATACACAAACACGAAGTGCCGCACTGGGTGACACCCGACCTAGCGACGCCACTGATCTGTTACACGTCATTGTATGTACACGATTCCCCCCCCCCCTCCCCCCGATTAATTAGACATTAAAAACGCAACTTTTCAATATTATTTGTAAAATATTATAAGTGGTTATCATATTGTTTTCAACTTGATCCACAACTATGATGTGAATGCTTTTTTATATTCATTCAATCATTTTAAGAAAATAAGAAAACAAGAGTAGGCCTACAGAAGCAGTGTTTCTTCCAGACTTTTTTCACCGGGGGGGCACTTGAAATCTTCGGGGGGGCGGTAAACTTTCTTCGGGGGGGCGGACACTGTTAAAAGTATATATTTTCTATATAAATGATATAAATTACATTTCGTTCGGGGGGGCGGTAAAAAATTTTCGGGGGGGCTTCGCCCCCCCGAAGAGATGCCTGGAAGAAACTCTGTACAGAAGTGACGCGCGTCGTTTGTCTGTTATATAAAATCTGGCCAATACTTAGAACGCGGGAAATATGCGCGTTTTCGTTGTACTTCTTTCCTTCGCAGTCTAGTTCTCATACGTGACCAAGGAAACACTAAAATTGTATTTGGAGAATGGAACTTGATCTAACTGATGAACCTATGAATATAGGTAGCTGGGCAGATATAACTGACGATACTTACCCATACAATGAAAGGTAATATTGGTAATATTAGATCTAAATTAGTCTAAATATAATTTAGGCCTATTGGTCGTATTGGACAATATTGGTCAATAAAAAGTATGAGTTGCAGAAAGGATCGGAAGTGCTGACAAGGAGGCATTCAAATTCAATCAAGACTCAAGTCAAGCAAGATCATTCATCAATGAGTCTGAGTGGCTAAACGTTAGTGGTTACACTCCTAGATCTAGATCTAGATCTTTAAAATCTTGATCTAGCGTCCTACCTAATGCCTAGTATACTTATACTAGATTCTAGATCTAAATACTAAATACTATACTTAGGCTTTTTGATGAGAATTACAGAATGATTTTTTTTATTAAAAATGTATCAATAATAGCTAGAACACTAGTAAACTAAGCTAATTTAGCATATTTTAACTTTCTGTGCAAAGTCATTATTACTGAAAAAAATTCCAAAGTCAGGTCAGCCTGTGGCACCCTCCACTGAACGTGACAGAAGGAAAAAAAAACTTCACCCGTGACCTTCATTAAAACAGAATTTGCTTTTTTATTTTTTTTATTTTTGGTAAACATGTGCTTAATCTTACCCAATAAGTGATAAAAATTTGAAAATTAATTTTAATTACAGTTGTAAAGTAAGATAAACAGCTTAATAAACACATGCTTTCTTGAGGGGGTGTGGCCCGGGTGTGGCACATCGCAATTATAACTTTATATTTCTGTGTTTTATGACTATATTTGTTTACAATCAGCATGCTATGTTTTTAAAATTGATAAAGGGTAAGTATACCAAGTTACAAAATCTGCAATCTAACTAATAATTCATACTTTCAATTTAAAAAATAATAAAAACGATCATCAACGAAGAAAGCGTAAACATTCTATTTTTAGGTGTGACATAAAAAACAGTCATAAATCTAGCCAAATGATTGGATTCTTACGCGGCACACATTTTCCCGCGCCTCGTTTTCACCAAACAAGAATATAATAAAATGGCATTATTACTTACAGCATGAAAAGCATTGTTGTCAGCCTAATTATATTAAACAATTCTATTTTTATTTGATAGTAAAGATGTTATAAAAATTGGGTCTAATAAAAAAGTTATTGGATAACGCACCTGCTTTAGTTTATTCGACTTGAAACGCAAGCTAAGTAAGCGTGACTTTCTCTCGACGGCCTCGTTAAATACAAATAAAGAAATTAGGTCAAAAGTACATCTGGGAATTCTTAAATAACAGACTGAAATAGAAACGGATAGTTCCGATGTCTAAAATTAACGATGGCCTCGTTATTATTAGTTTTATCCCTCTACCGTTTAGTGAAAGCGAAACTGGTCGCCATTTTTGGTAAGCGCATGAGCCATGAGATGGCTTCAAAACAACAAACCCGGAAGCTGTGAATCGAACGGCCTACTATACTCTCGAATAATAAAGTAAACACACATCAGGCTTAGAATTAGATGGCTATGTTAATAATGTCTTAAGTCTTAATGACTTAATGAAAGTTAATGTACTATGTAATTGGTAATTATAAATTAATTATTAAATAAATTAATAGTTAAAGTAGGCCTACTTTAAATAAAAATAAAACTTTACAAGTTTGAATAGTTTTTAACACTCAACTGCCAGATCTATCAAATTTGACTGATATTATTTTGATTTCTTTATGCTTTTATTCACTTTTATAATGTTTAATGTATCATTGTATGGTTACACACTGTAAATTAATGAGGGAGATCTTATTTGTCAATATTTGTAGACTCAATGTTGTAGACTGTAGACACTGGACTTAAATTTCTAGATCTAACCAAAAATGTATTTTTTGTTTCAGTGAAAACAGTGAAAATGAAACTGATACTAGATCTAAATTAAAATTAACCAACACCACAAGAAGTAAGCCAACAGATTTGACAAGTAATCAGCCTTTGGGATTTAATACTAAAAACACAACAAATTCATTTGAAGGTGCAAAAACTGACCTCCGAAACAAGTTAAATAAAAACAGGTAGCCTATTATTGGATCACTGTCCATTTTAAAGTACTAAATAATTAAAATAGTACAGTCTGTCAGTACCCACTCTAATGGGCTTTACTATGACAGATGGCTAACAGGTCTTTGCAAAACTAAATCCATGCTCCTTTAAATAAAATAATTAGATTAAAGCTAGGGCTAGGGACTACACAAGATTATTATTTTTTAATTGATAGATCTAGGACCTTGCCTATATGATAATTGTAGTGGGTTTTTGGATTAAAACTGTCACCTGTAGCCTTACTTGACAGGCCCAATAAAAAATAATTTAGCCCTCTCAGGTTACATAATGCCTTAGTGCCATCATTATTATAGATGATCTAAAACTTAGCTCTATTCTATTAGTTTATACATTTGTGTATGTTGTTGAACCAGAAAGGAAAGTTATCAACAAAGAAACCACAGTCCTTATAGCAAACGAAGAAGTGAAGCTCAGACAACCAGACCTAATTATACCACAAAACTAGGTGGTCTCAGTCCATTGAGGAGCCCTATCAGTAGGGACAGAAATTCTAGTGTGGCTAATATGGATAACAGTCATAGCCATAGGTAATTTATTTTTTATATATTAATTTCAAATGTTTAATTGTTCTGTGGTTCAAGTTTTAACTTTTCATAAATTTGTAAAAAAAAAAAAAAAATATTTTTATATTGGGACTAATTTAATTTTTTTTAAATTAGTTGATTCTCACATGATTAAACAATTTCAAAACATTGAAATAAATTTCAGATATACTAGAAGATATGATCGAACACACCAAGCTTCCCCTCATTCTAAAAATGGAAACTGCAACCAACAGTCACCTATTCAACATCGTGACACGTCTTTGGCAGCTAAAGATTTAGTATCTGGCAATGATGAGACATCACCAAAAACAGTTTTACCGCACAGTGAAGAAGAAGAGTAATTTATTTTTAAATTTTCTTGTGTTGTGACTCACAAGATGTTAACCCATTGTAAAAACAATTAAGCCGTAAAGTGTTGTTTTACAGTATTAACTCTTTTTGTCAGGCTAAATACATGAAGGATTTTTGTATTTTCTTTAGAGATACAGGTATCAGAGTTAAAGAGCATGTATTGTTTTTGGTCATTCATTGGTGACTTAGTACTTATTTTTAAAACATGTTCATTATGTGTAAGATTCTTAGGTTAATTAAATCATTTAATATTATTTTGGTTATTTGTTTACTAAATACCTAACAAGTAACGTAATAAAAATTTCTCCTTAACTCATTTTAATAGCATGTTTTTTTGTTTGTTCTACTAACAAACATTCACTCTTTTTGTCAGTGGTACTCCAGACCTCTCAAGGCATAGATCCTTAAACAGACCAAGAGAGTTATGGTAATGTTTGATGTTTACAAAATCTAAAATGTTACCAGAAGCATAAACAAATGTTCATGCTAGTGTTTGGTCATTAGGTGACAGATAAATGGGCTGTCTGGTATTATTGATGGTTTCAGTCACAAAAATTAATTTGTTTATTTTTTACTGTTGTTTTTCAGGTCTCGTAGAAGATTGCACCTGCCCTCTGAAAATGATGATTCTGGGGAAGAAAGCAAAGCAAGATTGTCTGCAGTAAAAGAAGAGTAAGACATTTTTTTCTGGTCCCCATTTTAAAAATTCAAAACCAAAATAGTGTTTTTTTAAAGCAGTTTACCATAGTATGTTTTTGTTTGCTGACCATTTTAGTGTTGAAATTTTTACCTCGACCCAATGTTTTCCCCCTGTTTAATTGTTCTTTAACTCAAAGTCACCGGACGAATATCTATATTTATGCGGTAACTTGTAGATTTTAATAATAAATAGAGGGTTTGAGAGATGCATTTGGTTTCATAAATTAACTAAATGCATTTTGTAAACCTCTCTTTTAAATATATATATTTCAATGCTAAAAATATATTTTTTTTTTTTTTTTGGGTATCAATATCAAATAATGAACTAAACATCTTTTTTTTTAATTGTAAAACCCATTTATACTAAAGCATACATTTCAGGGATCCACTGAGGTTGGCCAGGAGAGAAAAAGATATTCTGTATGGAAAAACCACAGATGCTTACAAAAAATATGTATCAACTATTCCAAAGTAAGTAATTTGTCACATACAGTTTATTAAGTAATCCTTAGGGCCTCACAGAAGAAGTAGAGTGTATCTGTTTCTGTGACATTGGCATAGAGAGGAATGGTGTTTCCATTCTGTGCACGTCTGTGTTTGCTTTCCCTAATGTTAGGTTCCATAAGTTAGACTGAGGGATGTCCGATACATTCAAGCCCGGGATCTGAACTTAATAACTAGAAGCTGTGCTTTTTATTAATTTTTATAATGTTATTATGTTGCTAAAATAGCATAATAATTTTCAAGTAACAATATGTCAAATTTATTTGTCTTGGCTAATTTGTACTTATTAGTACATTTCATGGAGATTTAAATTTATCAAACTTTTCTTTAACTATTCCCTCACTCCACTTGATGGAGGTACAGGGGTCAACAATTCTTTATCAATTTTGTTTATAATACTAAATTTGTCTATCTAATTCCTTAACCTCCTTTTCATTTAGCAACTGTTTCACTGCTAGCTGTAGTTTTCTCAATTTACTGCATTATTTTGCTTAATCAAAGTTTTTATTCATATGTCTTGGTCAAAATATCTTTATTTCTACCATTTTTATTTGTGTTTACCACTTGCAGTTTTTCCTTATAGCTAATTTTGTATTTCATAAAACTACTCAAATAATTATTACTTAAATTGATATTAGTTTGTTGAGCATTCAAACCTTATTAATTTATACATATACATACTTGTGTCAGTTTATATATATATAAAATATATTGTATGGGTTTGAAATACATGGGAGAAGCTAGTCACAACAAAATTAAGGGAGCTAATCTCAGTTGGATGTGAAAATAATTCCAGTAACAGTTAGTCAAGCTTTTAGCATGTAGTTTCATTATTGCCACTTATAAGATGGGATAAAAACATTAAGTATCTTTTCAAGAGTCTGCTGTGACCTCATTTTTTTAAAAGAATGTATATACTTCTTTGTTCTTAATTTTTAGTGTTGAATGGGATCGAGCCTTATCTGCCAGAGGGTTCGAACTCAAGACTTTTTCAAATTTAATAACCATGAGCTTTGCCGACTCAACCACGCCTCTAACACAATTAAGTATATGTGTCAACTGGTTATGCGCCATTGAGGTCATTGACTCATATTTCAACCTGCTTTTCTTTTTAAAATTTTTGGATTAGCCTTTGTCCAACCAAGAACAAACTACAAGGCAGCAGTTGTTTTATTTTAGAGTTGTCTCTCCTAGAAGAGTGGTTGTCCCCAGCTAACAAGCCTCATCTGCCAGAGGGTTCGAACTCGAGACTTTTCGGTTTAGCAACCATTAATTAGCACAATCTTACGTTACATAGTGTTATATTAATGAAATTGTCATTGAAGTTTGTCTTCATTTGATTAAAGAAACCTACGAAGTGGAGACTTGAAATTGCACCCTAGAACTCCTGAAAAAACAAGAAAGTGTAGTCGCAGATCTTGGGACTCTCAGGTTAAGATATGGAAACGTCGACTTCATTCATGGGCTGGATTGCACTGCAAACAAACAGACTCTGATTTGTAAGTATTTTAAAATTATATGCATTTGCTGAAATAGCTTTTACTGGGTGTATTTGTTAGATCTTTATGTAACTGTTTTTAACATGTAGTTTAAAGATAACAAAAGAAAATCAGTGATTAAAAAATTTAAATAAAATTGCCATTGTATTTATGTCATGAAAAATATATAAAGCCAATGGTTTATCATTTTATTGATAAACTAATTTTTAAAACTGTTATCAAAGTTGAACATAACTTTGATAAGAGTTTTTAAAATATAGAACAGGGCTGCTTACTTGAAAACAATTTTCTCCATAATCTTCAGATTTGTTCATCTAAGTTTTAATATTACCAATTTTCTTTCTGAAAGTATCATGACATGTAAAAGCATGGAGATATACCTTTAAGGGTAAATAAAACCAGGGTTTAGAACTTATTCAACTTGAGTTCAGTTTCTTTTGTTTGCTTCCTAGAACATTAGTTTACTTTTAACTCTATTGTCAGGTATGTTTTATTTAGGTATGGCAATACACTCCAACCTATATTCGTGAGTCACAACCATCAGAGATTAATAGTTAAGTGTAGGAAATTGAGATGCTGTAACTATTCTGCTACTATCAATATTTTACTAGAAAATTGGTCCTGCATCAAGCAAAGTCAAACATTGCAATTAATTAGGATTTACCAAAATGCTTATTTTAAGTGGCCTAAAATATGATTATGTGATCATTATTATTTATAAAATAATCTCCAGGTATAAAAAAAATATTGGTAATTTGGCACAATATTTTTAATTACAATTAATGCATTTCATTTTAAAAGGGTACCATATGTAACAGCCTATTCTGCTGATAAATTTTGTTATAACTTTAGATTGGTCTTTAAAATGTATAATTGTATAGTCACTTATTTGGGTTGATTCTGGTGATAAAAACAACAAATTTTTACAGAAGGGCATTATTATCAAATATCATTGCTTTTGAAACAGAACATTTTTTTAATAGGATGCCTTGTAAAACCAAAATTTATTTTTACTATGCAGTGACTTATTGGTATTTTATTAAAATAGTTGATTTTGATGTAAACATTTTGCAGGTTAATTTCTATTAATTTTTAATAAACTTCAGATTATCTTCAACGAATAATGTCCCATCTGATGTTGCTTCTGGTGCATCTTCAAATAAAAGTGATGATGACAATATTGACTTAGGTGATGAGGATGATTTTTTAGACAGCATTGATATCAGTTTTCAAGTTGCTGAACAGATTGAAGACACAATAAAATTGAATGATAACTAGATCTAGAGGACAGAAGACTGACATAGCAGTTGTTGTTAATGTGGCAATATTTTTTTAAAACATGTATATTCATCACCCCTTCAAACAAACAGGAATTAATATAATAAATGCTTTTATGTTTGTACATGAATTTAGAGTGAGTACTTAAATTGCTTTTTGGGAAGTAGAAAAAACAGGTGTGAGGTAATAGATTACTATACCAGTCTGTAGTTTTTCCTTCAACTCTGTCTTTGTGAAAATGTTTAGTTCTTTAAAGTGGATACCTTTCTGTTATTTTTTTCTAAAGACGTACCAAGTACCATATTAAAATGTTTTAAAAAATTAAAATTTACTTTATTCAGTCATTGCTATTTATATATTTTAAAAATTATCTGGAGAAGTTATAGTGCTGTTTTTTTCCCCCACATGCTTTTTCTAATACTGGGTGACTCTAGTGAAAAGGTGTCATAAAACTGGTTAATGAATACAATATTTTTTGGCTAATTTCTAATCATTTTTCTGAGTTATAGAAATTTTTAAAATAGTAACACTATTTGCCATATTATTTCATGTCAAGCCTATCAATAATTATGTAAAATAATTACATAATTTTTATTACCTTACTATAAACACAATGGTAAGTATCAAATAATGCCAGCAAATTTAAAGTGTTATTGTAATTATATACTGCATGCTACTATTTCAGTTAGTTTCATTTTTGATAAGGCATCCCTTTGGAATTCAGCATTTCATTCCCATTGTATAGAATGACAACAGCTATTAAGATTATTCAGATATAGTTTTAACAATTTATCCAGTTGTTTCTCTTCTTTGGTGGCTATTTATCTATAAAATAAGATGAAAACTATGTTAATATCTCTTTATTTTTATGTGTATATACAAGCACAAAAGTTTTTATACTTATTAAATATTTATGTTAGTTAATACTTTACAGGTTTTTTTTAAACATTTGTATTTCATACCTGCATATTTTCATTAACCACACATAGAAAAAGATATTTATTTTAAGACAATAAATATGCTAGTTTGTGTGTGCACTGTGTTTATAAGGGTGATCTTTTTAAAAAAAATGTCATGTCATTGTATATAACATCTGCTTTTGAATAATGCATTATTTTGATCATTTACTTAAAAACAATTTTGTTATTAAAAAAAAGAAATTATGAATTTACATTTATTTTGTTTTATTCTTAAATTTTAATGAAACTGTTTTGTTTTTTGCAATTAATTTCTGTTAGTAGTCTACTAATACATTGTGCTGTAAGTAAAGTATTATCTAGCATTTCAAAAGTCCTTAGGTATTAGATACAGTATTGCAAATTACTAGATCTAGTTCTCATCTCCCCTAAAGGAACACATAGGGTTTTTTTTTTAAAATCTATTTTGAAAGTTGACCTTTTAATTAAGGCTTTTTTGTGTACTTCGATAATTTAAATGAAGATTCCATACTAATATGTATTGACTCCAAATGCTGTTAAATGGTAGGTTTATTACAATACCAGGTAATAACATGCGAATGGTAATTTTCCATTACAGGCGCCTACACTAGTGTAGGGGCTATGGTTCAAAGGTTACATGTACTATGTAAGCGTCATCAACGTTTGGAAAGTACCATAAAATTTTACTTGAAAAGAAAAAATAATCTGACTAAATTAATTCAACTTTACAAAGCCAACCGCCTTTTTAAATACTGAAATCTGCATAGAGTTATTTAGAGATAAATATATTTTTCCATGGACAATAAAACAGGTTCTTCGAGGTCAAGGCCAGCCCATTGCCGACGATAATAAAAAGAAATCGTCCATGGAGAAAGTTTAAAAATATAATGTCTGGCTATTTATATATTAACTCACAACCGGCAAGCCTCGATCGATTCAAGTCTTGAAACAAAACCCCGTTTATAGTTTATTATAGATCATTTTGCCTTTAGGCTACTAAAAATTGTACAGCCCGTATGCCCAAAGGTCAAGGCTGGTTTAATGTCCTGTGCGTTTATTATTACGCTTCGAAATTTCACCGGAGTCTAACTACCGTTGAAATGGAAAAATATGGTTCTCAACGTTTCTATCAAGTCGTTTCTTAAGTAAAACAACAAACACATTCTTCCTAAGTATTTCAAAAATATTTATAATATTAGTCTGCCATAACGATTCGCAACACTGATTGATGCTACCAGCGAGAAGAGATTAGAAGCCGAATGCGCATGTCGCTAAACATAGCTTTACTTTAATACAAATGATTGATTTTAAATGAAATGTGTCTCCATGTATCAACCTTGAACTTTATTACATAGGAAATAGGCTATGAGCGAAATTAGGTCATTGAACCTATTTCTGCAGTCGGCAGCTAGCGTGTGTTTGTAAAGTACATCGATGCATATCTCAACCTGCTGAGGGTGTTAGTAGGCCGTCGGTCATGACCCACACGTGGACGAGATCGAAAGGTTACCCTGCAGTAATCCCTTTATCTTTTTGAGGCGGTTTTATTAAACAGTCGTTCTGATTAACAGAGGCGTAGCTAGGGGGGGGGGCGGGGGGGGGGGGGCGGCCGCCCCGGGCGCCGACCCTATGGGGGCGCCAAAAGGGGTGGGAAAAAAATTTTTAAAGCTGATTTTATGCTGCAGTTTTGAATTATAAACTGTCTAAGTTAAGAAATGTAATGGCTACACGCCTTTACATACTGATTTAACTGTTTTCTACCTTGATTTCTTAATGTAAAACATATACTCTTAAGAAACAGTGACCGGCAAAACCGCTTTAAAGCTTTTGCTAGATGGGGGGGGGGGGGCGCTTTTTCGAGACTTAAAACGGAAGAATTTACACTAGATTGTTGAGTCGATAAACATTACCACTATTAAAGAAACCAATTGTATTAAAACGTATTGTACGATTGTTGAACTGTAAAATACGTTAGTGACTTTTATCAAGATGGTGCAGGGGGGCGCTTTTAGGCTAAATAAAATAGCAAAATTACACTGGATTCTGAGTAAACAACCTTTAGCTCTCAGAAAGAAACGAATTGTACTGTGCATTGTATAATTGTGTAACATTTTAAAAAAAAAGTTAGTTACGTTAAAAACCGCTCTACAAACTTTGTCCAAGATGGTTGTGATGAGTGTGTGTGGGGGTGGGGGGCGCTTTTTTCGCTAACAAAAATCGCAAGTATTTGTACTGGATTGGTGGGTAGATAACTCTTTTAACACTTAGTAAAGAAACCAAGTGTATTAACGCGTAATGTACAATTTCACTAGCCAGTTTTGTTTAAAAAAAGACGCGACTAGTTCTTTGTAAGATTCTTACGATTCTCTCAACTTCAACGTGAGAGATCAGATACTTTTGATTGATTGCATTACATCTTACCCGGATCACTGAACTATATTAAAGAGAACTAAATATCACGGATTCTTGAATCCCTAAGCCACTAACCACCACTTTTTTCCATGCTCTTATTTCATTCTCCACTGTCTGTAATCTAGCTCCAAGCCATACAGTAAAAGAGACCACATTTAGTTATAGATCCTGATTGAATTTTTTTGACAATGCATTTGAATTCCACATTTTCTTAGAGTGTTAAAACGCGTTTTATTGCTGCTGATTATAATCAGAACGTCATGGGCTATCATTAAATTGATTGTTACTGCTTCTTCAACCAATACAATTAGTTCTGCATTTGTTGTTGACGTTGTGCGAGCAGTGTTTCTTCCAGACTTTTTTCTCCGGGGGGGGGGGGGGGCACTTGAAATTTTCGGGGGTGGGGGGGCGGTAGACTTTCTTCGGGGGGGGGGGGGGGGGGGGACACTGTTAAAAGTATATATTTTCTATATATAAATTATATAAATTTCATTTCGTTCGGGGGGGGGGGGCGGTAAAAAAAATGCGGGGGGGCTTCGCCCTCCCCCCCCCCCCCCCCCCCGAAGAGATGCCTGGAAGAAACTCTGTGTGCGAGAAGGCAGGGCAAATCTGCGAAATCCAAGACCACGAGCTGTTAACATCCGTTGGATTCCAGTTTGTTTTCTCTAGCTTGTTTTGTCATACCATCAACCAATCAACGAAATACCCATGTCGTATTCCAATGTGAACAATAAATATTTCTGATAACTTCTTCTTGTATGTCACTTGTGTGTCCTTACTCTAACTATCTTCGAATCCAACTATGTACCATATCACAACAGAGATCGTTCCAAAACTAGAACATAAAAGGCTGGTCTAAACATATTAGCGTTAGCTACAAACTACCCTCTAACACAGATCAGGCTTATTTTTTTTTTACTGACATTACTAATCTTTTGCAAAAAAAGTTAAACGCATCTAAATGGAATTAAATTGTCGTAAAGTTTTAAGGAATGAAAATCATACAATGTAATTATTAAACCTTGTCCGGACTGTAGCACACACGCTTACACACACGCTTACACACACAAATACTCTTACCCACACACAAGCTTATATATAAACACACTATTACACACACATAATTATACACACACACACACACACACACACACACATATATATATATATATATATATATATATATATATATATATATATATATATATATATATATATAAGCGGGGGGGGGGGCGCCAAATTGAAAGTTCGCCCCGGGCGCCGGGAAGGGTCGCTACGCCTCTGCTGATTAAGACTAAATTAAGTTCTTATTTTCCTTCTGATTATGAATTTAATGATTAAGGTTCTTAATCTGTCGAAATGTAATGTTTTGTTTATTTATTTAGATTCATAAAAACAAAAAAAAAAGCATGTCTACAATTATTATATTCTAGATTCTAGATGAAGATCAATTTGATTCTCTAGAAATCTCAAAACGTGTCTGACCTATATAGGCTGTTTTGGTAGGCCTATATTACCCAAACAAATAGGCTACCTTTACTAGGCTACCTATCTTGTTTTTCAAATAAGCTTACCACGGTGACTTTAAATGGGTATGTAGGTCTACAATGTGCTGATATTTAGCTGTTATAAAAAAATTATAAAACGTGTAGGCAGTGTTTCTTCCAGACTTTTTTCTCCGGGGGGGCACTTGAAATCTTCGGGGGGGCGGTAAACTTTCTTCGGGGGGGGGGGGGGGGGGGCGGACACTGTTAAAAGTATATATTTTCTATATAAATTATATAAATTTCATTTCGTTCGGGGGGGGGGGGGGCGGTAAAAATTTTTCGGGGGGGCTTCGCCCCCCCGAAGAGATGCCTGAAAGAAACTCTGCGTGTAGGCCGATGATAGTGCAGATGAACTAGAGTTCATTGGGTTCTCAAGACAAGCATTCCGGTAACATGCGGTCATTTTTTTTCTTTGTCGTTTCGTAAAGTTGTGTGACATGTTTCATTATGGCATTTTAGTACCATTACAGCTTTTTCAACTTTTTTCTCACCACGTAAAAATTATTTGATCAAAAATAAATAAAGATAAACAAACCTTTTGTCCCTGAACTTTGAATAACGTAAACTGGATTATTTCCCTTCATTATTTATTTTTTATACTCATATCTACAGATTTGGAAAAAAAAAACAGTAGTAATCTCAAAACATAAAAAGTAAAGCACAAATGTCAAGTGTTTCCTCAAACTACTGTTATGACCAACCCTATCAGCGGTTTAGGGGTTACTTGTTTCTTGTATGAAATGCGGTTTACTTTACTTAGTCTAAGACCAATTTCAATCTCTGATCAACTTCAATTATTGGTCAATTCACATTAATGTAGTCAGGGATTCTTTCATACATCTTGCAATGCGGACAGAAGGGTAGGACCCATTTGGACGTTCGGGACGAACTTTCAGTATCCCCCGCCCCCATCCACTATTTAAATATTGTTATTCACGTTAGTGGAAGTGTGTGTTTGGTGCTCTTTTTACCATCACTGTGCCTAAAAGTTTTTATTTTGGTGTCTATTGATGTAGAAAACAGTAAAACCAGTCTGTAAATATAATAGTCCACTGTCTAAACTTAAACTAAGATTGAACAAAGCAGCTCAGAATGAGTTTTTAAATTTTTGCTATCCCACTTGGCGCCCCCATAAAATCGGCACCCGGGGCGGCCGCACCACCCGCCCAGTGTTTCTTCCAGACTTTTTTCTCCGGGGGAGGGGGGCACTTGAAATTTT